CTAAGAAGTGGGTCAAGGATTTGTGCTCAGACCATGTCTCTCCTCAAGTTATGAGCTCTTTTCTCCATTTTTTTAGTAGGAAATGGATCGGAAGGGCTTTACAATATATATTTTTTAAGTGTAGCCAGGCATAGTGTCTGCATGCCTGTAATCCCAGCAGCTCAGGAGACTGAGGCAGGAGGATCTCAAGTTCAAAGCCAGCCTCAGTATAAGTGAGGCCCTAAGCAACTCAGTGAGACCCTGTCTCTAAATAAAATATAAAATAGGGCTGGGGATGGGGCTCATGGGTTGAGTGCCTTTGAGTTCAATCCCCGGTACCCACCCACACAAATTTTAAGTTTATATAATTTCTTTATGATTTCTGTTGGTACATTATAATTATATATAATAGTGGGATTTTTTGTGACATAATCATCCATGCTCATAATTTGATCAGTCTCATTCCTCAGTACCTTTCTTTTCCTTCCTCTCCTCTCCCAACTCCTTTTCTCTATAAGTCTCCCCTCTATTATATTTAAATTAGTGTATTATATATAAAAGTGGGATTCACTTTGGTACATTTGTATATGGACACAGTGTAATTTAGAGGATTTCACTCTCCACTATCTCCTCATGCCTTTTCCCCTCCCTTCTTCTTCATTCCAAGAAGGGATTTTAGAATTTCTATGTCATGAGAAATCTGAAGCTTTTCTCCAACACAATAATTTCTTTCACATATTCTACTACCGTCCTAAAAACTCCATCGATTTCAGTGAGAACCTTATAAGCAAGCAGTTACTATTCCTGCCCAACCTTCCTTATTCAGAAAGTCAGGTTCCTCTTCAACGATAAGAAAGTACGTTTATGTTTAGGCAGAATGGGATGCCTCTATGGGGCACTCTTTGCTTAACTGAATGCTCGAATTTCATTTCCAGGATCCTGAAACACTCTGCCTGTAGTCTGTGTTTGTCGGCTTCTCATCCCTGGGACCCAAATTCATGACTTCAAAAACTCAAAGAGGAGGAAAAGTTTATTTGGGGCTCAAGGTCGCAGAGACTC